AAAACCTGCAGCTTTCCATTCTAACCCCTACAAGGGAGAACTTGCAATTTTAACCCCTAAAAGATATGATGCTCATCACACTCCTCRATATATGGGAGTTACCCTCATGAGGAATTACTAATTCTAAGGTTGTATCTATAGACATGAAATAATATCCCTTGAATTCATGATCAGCTGAGTTAAATATAATTATTATATAAAGCCCTACAAATAAAAAGAAAACCATGTCTTGAATAACATTAATTTGGAAGCCATTAATCCTTTACGGGTAACTATCCTTTTTGGACTGAAATCAAATTTTATACAGAAATTGCAAACCCTGCTTTTCCCATTTTCCAAAACAGGGTACTGCAACTACCATTACAATATTTAACCAACTTCGTGATTGCTCAATAGCAAGCTGTAAAAAACTACAGGGACTGTGGAGACACGGGGAAGGGGGGCCATATTAAGCTTCCTACTTATCCCTTTTGTATACTGGTCTATTGTATTTTCCAATTGGTCCTCTTTTTCCCCATAATAGTCTCCAATCTAACCCCTCAGAGCATTCTGAAGGGGCTTCTTATCCCATTTCCCAGGCAAAATTGTACCCATCAAAGTCTAAGTTCAAATCCCATAATCCCACCCTACATTTTGCTCAAATCGCAATTCCATTTCCATTGTTGGTGATTTTGTTATGAAAAGCAAATTCCTCATTACCCTCTTTCCAGGATACTGTACTGCCTTTGTTCTATTTCAATACATTTGGACATAATTCTCATTTGACAATGAAATTTGAAGCATTTTATTGTTTCTAATTAGAATACTTATAGCATCATTATTACTCTAATAAAATCAAATTATCATGCACTATATCTCATTACTAATAATAAGGCACTTATTAAAAATGCCATTAAATAACCATGAAAACTTACTGATCCTTTCAATGTTTAATGCAACTTTTAACAAACTTTTAACATTTTATTTCTGAATAACTTATAAATTTATTTTGTATCATTTAATACTAATTTTTTTAATAAGTATCATGAGCATGGCCTATTGCTGAAATATAAAACTAGAGTAATTCCAATAAACATGGGCACTATAAATTACCCAAATAGACTACAGTACTAGACGCTAAACGTTTGGAGTCCTTTTGTTTGTTTGCATGCATATTATAATAAACACTATAAATAACCAGCCAACACTATTGGGGAGGAACRTGTGAATTTTATGTGAAAAGTATGTGATAAACTTYACACACTTTTTCACATAAAGTCATGTGAAAAGTGTGTGAAAGTTTCATGTGAATACCATGTGAAACGATTGTAGTCCTTTTCACATGTTAAAAGTGTGTGAAATGTATGTGAAATACACAAAGCAAAAAACTACAAAAAACATGTGAAATTCATGTGAAATCAAAAGACCACATGAAGACCATGTGAAATAGTTAAGTGAAACCATGTGAAATACAAGTGAATAAATAAGATTACACACACACCCACACATTCATTTCACACATGTGAAAAATGTGTGAAAAAACATGTTTACCATGTGAAAATGATCAGAAAATTAAAAAAACCACACCTGTAGATGTTTGATCTGTAACTTTAATGTTATTGATAAAATTTCAAAAAATATCTATACATTCTCAAAATCATTAAAAATATATAATATATATATATATATATCCACACTTATAAATCCAATAAAATTTCAAATCTATGCATGTTCATAATTCAAAATAATTATATATAATAATCCCAACAACAATTCAATAAAATTTGAAAAATCTAGAAATTGAATACTTTTTAAATAAAAMTTGAATGTTTTTATATTCATGCCAACTTAGCTCATGCAATGATAATGTAAAATTATTAAAAATTCAATGAAATACAGCCATTTTTGATCCAGTATGTAGAAAAATATGAATTTTAAAAATCATGATAATGAGTGGCAGAATTGATACATGGTCTATTATATATGTCATATAAATCTGTTTAAAAAAGAAAGTCCAAACTTGTCTTGGCTATTCTCCTACGCTTAGTGGGAAGGGGCTGTTCATCATGGAGATCATCAGTTACTGGTACATATGCATAACCCTTGTACCTTTTACATGGCTTGTTGGGAAGTGTAAGGATGGGACACTGTGTGGGGGATGGTGTGGTGAAATCTTGGTCATTTGTTGGCGGTGTACCTGTGATGGTAGTGTGGTTGTTCGTGGGGGTGGAGGTTCAGGAGGTTGCAGTTTGTTTGTTAGTAGGGGTGGCAGCAGCATGTTTCTTTGTATTATTGGTGGTTGCACCGTGTTTGTTAGTATGGCTTGTTTTAGTGTGCTTGCTTGTAATGGTGGTTAAGCACTGTGTTTGTTGGAAGCGGTGATTGTAGTGTGCTTGCTTGTACTGGCAGTGGCACAATGTTTGTTTGTAGGGGTGGCAGTAGCATGTTTGTTTGTACTGGTGGTGGCACCGTGTTTGTTAGTAGGGGTAGCAGCAGCATGTTTGTTTGTACTGGTGATGGCACCATGTTTGTTGGTAGCGGTGGCAGTGTGTTTCTTTAAATTATTGGTGGTGGCACCGTGTTTGTTAGTAGGGATGGTCGGTGCTTGCTTGTAATAGTAGTGGTGGCAACATGTTTGTTGGTAGATTGAAGATTGTTGACCAACAGCTGGTTCTCAGGCCAATAAAAAGTCTCTCCAACCTGAGAAATATATAAAAGTGAATCAAACATTATTATACTCTGATTCAATCTAACTGCTTTTCGTTTATAGTACTACTTATATACACTGTTATTCTACCTTTATTTCATGGAAGAACTTCTTTCTGTTTGGTGATTCCAAAGAAATGTTCTCACTCCCAGCCGGATACATTGACTGTAAAATAAGCTTTACAAAATCACCTGAAAATAATTAAAAATTTGTATCACCAATATTATTTAAAATAAATTTAAACACAAGAAAAGCAATGCAATAGGGGCATGATGAGATCCATGGCTAACTATATTGTTCACATTATCCTTTTTCAATCTCACTCAAATTTCATGTCTCTGTTCTTTTAAACCCTATGCCTGCTAGCTAGCCAGAAAAATCATTTATATATTCCATGTTACATGTAAGTAATGTATAATATTTTATACACATTCAATTTGATGACATACCATTTTCTTTTGAGTGCCGTAAGTATGATGCTCTTCCAATTTTTGTTGCCCCATGCATCACAAGAAGGATTATCACTGAAAAAAATTATATACATAAATAATTTGATTATGGGAAGATTGAAATGCAGGATATCAAATTTATAAAACTCATGATCATGAATTGTTATATTTTAATGAGCAAAAAACAATAGAAGTCATGACCGTGAAGAGTAGTGTTGTATATCTGATACAAAATCATGCATCCTGATTTTGCATAACCTTTAGATTAGATTTTCTTGGCCACATTGACTTCTATAATCATCAGTTAACAAACAGATTTATAGTGCAGACAATTCATGAACCATGAAAAGCTGGAATAATAACAAAACAACTGCAGGCATTCATGATCATATTTACTATTGCTCTTATAATATAAAATTATACTTACGAAGAACAMAAGTTGAAACCAGTTTCTTCATCTGCCTCCTTGTCTAGTTCTCCTGAAATATTGTCTTTCACTACATCTACAATGGCTGTAATTTTGCCCTTAAGGTCTATCACAGGCATCGTTTTTGTATTTATTGAGCTAAAAAAARCCCAGAAGAATTGGTAACCAATACAAAATAAACCAAATATAACCTCTGAACCACAGTACTAGGACCGTGAGGTGGAGTACAGTTTTTCTGTAATTACGGTTTCCCTCTGTAAATAAAGTGTATCAATCTAAAGCTACTAGTGGCTCTCATATTATACAAATTGATGTTGAATTTATTACCTGTTTGGCACGTTTCCAGTGTATAGTGTTCTTTAACATGTTCCGTCTATACCTTAGGCTCTCAGCCAATCTTTTTCTTATTTCCCTTTTATTTTCCTGGCCATCTAGTTCTGGAAGGGCAGTGGTGATCTAGGATAAATAAATAAAATAAAGTTTAACATATATCAAAAATGTATCAATTTAATATATTTCTTTTCTTGATAAATTTTGTAACTGTAAAATATTGAGCATAATAAATTTGTATTTGTATTTATTTGTATTAGGAAGGTT